TGGGATTCCTTTGTGGCGGTCTTACAGGGAGAGAGAAAACGCTAAAGGATGAATAAAAGTAAGGAAACTCATACATTCAAACAATAAATTTCTCTACTCGGAGGAAACTAGTATAACTGAGAAAAGAGAAATCGAGAAGTATTTAACTGATTTGGACGTAAAGTTCAAAAAGACGAAAATGATGAAATCTTTTCAACTTTCAGATTTTTTCAAGGAAACTAGGTATGGGCAGATAGCATGAAAATATTGAGAATTGGGGAAGTTATGTTTCAAGAGGGTTTCAAATCATTTTTCAAAAGTGATTGTGAAGTAAAACTTTTCAAATTGGTTACAAATCATTATTAATTCAGGAATCGTTGCTATTGTCTCTTTCATCGAAGGATTTTGCGCGACTCAGAAGCGTCCTAGAAGTCCGTAATTTTTATGAATATAGTAACCTGCTAAGAGAATGGTTAAAAATCTATTCTGACTCTTGGCGATATTTCTTCGTACGTAAAATCGGAGTAAAATTGTTTATATTCATTAAAAAATGTATATTAGGCAGTGTCACTTTCTGCCAAAATATACAAAAGTTTTCATGCACTTTTTTTCGTAAATGCAGCAAAAAAGTGTTTGGAAGGTTTCAATGGAAATTTTATATTAATCATTCAAAAAAATACAAATGGGAAAATTTGTAAGTAATATATAAAGTTTCTTCGAATAATATATTGGGTTTTGCAGAAATAATTTACCATAAGCAATATTCTTCATGCTGTCTACATCCCTTCTTACGATGTAAATAACTCTTAGGTTCAAAACGTTGTTTTTCAGCTCTGAAGGTTTGCCTTAATGTACTACTGAGGCGGGAAACTTCATTAGTCAAGGAAGTAATTAAAATGTTGAATACCCTGAAATTGGTTCAATAGCTTTTTGAATAGATAAAATATTTATCGATAAGTTGCTTTCGCAACTTTGTCAGAGTACTTTTCAAAAATGATTATCAAAACATTGATTTCCTAAATGTGAAATGACAGTAGCCTTACGGTCATTCAAAACATTAACTTTGGATGTTATAATTTTAAATTTCTTTCTAGACTCTCATTAAAAATTCATAGAATTGAATTACTTAGCATTGTAGACACAGCGCATGAATACGTGGTACATTAAAAATTGTGCAATGTATAAAAGTTGATACATACGGTAGAATTTACGAATGTTCCGGAAAATGGGAATGTGGGTTGCTATTAATCGTGAGATAAAAATGGCTTTAATTTTAGTTATGCGACAGTTCACAAAACTATTCATATGCTTTTTCCGAACATGCAAGTTTAATGATTTTGTGTGTAATATTTCAAAGATCTAGTTTTCCTCACATGTGTGTAACAATACTGAGTCATTTTTGAAGTACCTAGTTCTTATATTACAATTATCCACAGGCCTTATCATTCGATAATATCAAAAAACGCCCAAAGATAAATCACGGGCGCTGATTATCTCTGCAAATAATGGGTCATACCACAAATGTCTACTGCAGTTCATACAAAGCTGTGATAAGGTAGACACGCAGAAAAAACTTACCATGTTTCACGATGTTAGCAAGACTCTCAATTCTGCAGGAAAACCTTGAGAGAAAGTAAGCAAACAAGGTTGATCTTTTCAACACTATTGACTTACTTTTATACCTGACGACCAATAAGATTATGGACATTTGGCTCTGCTGTAACCACAAAGCACATTAATTACATTTGCTTCGTTAAAACATGATTTACTAAAGTGGTTTAATGTTAGCATTATTAACCATGAACATTCACCGCTTTTGTAGATTAGTTGAATTCGTATAGTAAAACTTAGGGGAATACGAAAAGCGCAGCTACAATTTTAAGAAGCGAGTAAAGAAAACATTCTCTACACAATAATGCGTGTCGTCAAAAAAGCTAAAGAAAACTCGCATAACTCAACAAAACACTAGAAATCTAAAATAAACGTATGAAACCAGCTTTTCTGAATTAAAAGTAAAACAAGCAATCAACGGTCAATGTGGCTCTAAAAAGTTCTAAGCTTTTAAATATTCCATTGATTCTAATATAAAGTAACGATGAGTTACTTTATACTTTTTAAAAACTGCTACTGGAGAGCGGTAAAATTTCAGATATTCACTTGCTATGATCCCGTAACATTCGAATATTCCTTCGAAAAGTTTGCCCTTTCAAACATATCTGAACTTTTTCTACACAGGATGCAAAGCTGATGGACCTAGACATATTTTAAAAAGAAATTACAGTACGAAATACCACGGGTGGTTTGGAAATTTACGATTAATCTGACTCAAATCTAGGAGGTATTTAGCTGAGAATTTTCAAAACAAGTGGTATTTAGTAGGACTATTCCACTACTGAAGTTATGACTAATCAGAGTTCCAAAATGTGACAAATATTGAAAATAACTGAAAGCCATATTAAAACTCGAGGTTGTTGTACTACACGCGTATTTGGACACACCAATCGATGCATACCGCCGCCTCAGATAGACCATTCAGTCAGCTCGAATCCAATTCAGTTGGGAAGATTTTCTGGAACGCCGGGCTCGTGAAACATACTGGCTCTTAAATACTAACAAGCTTTTTTCAGGAATATTAAGTTTATTTTCAGAAGGTCAACTTCAAATTCGGTAAGAAAAAGGGTTGCACCAAAATTCCTTAATCTCCACCACACTGCATGTCGGGAAATAGAGCATGCGTAGAAGTGTAGAGTTAAAAATGGTTTTGTAGCATGGAATGTAGGAAAACTGTAGTTAAACTAAATTAGAACTAATTTTCAGTTGGTGGTGGTGGTTCGTTGTATAGTAATAGTGGGTAATGAAATATATTACGAAATGCATGTTAAAATAGTAATAAGATAAAGCTGCGCAAGTGTACTGTACGAAATAGTTAAAGCGAGAATGGCTGCACTAACCCACAGGGTCTCGGGAGGTTTTAATCGAAAGCTATAGCAGCCTCGAGGAGCTGCAGTGCTGTCTTCCTGCATCGTAGATCAGAGACGGGCCTAGAAACGAACCGCAGCACGACCTCAAGACGACAGGAACTAACCAGTTGAAATATTCCTGTGGTCAGTGTTTGAAGTTCAAATATCTTCTTGGTCTATTAAAACGGATCAGCCGACTCAGTGAGATGATCACTACTGCGAAACTAATAATCGAAATTCGAAAAGTCAAAATTAATTTCTTACGTCTGTTGGATTTTCAAAGATTATCTGATGGTTGTATAAAATTGAGGAAAGCTTGCTTTCAAAGTACTTTTGCAATCACCTTAAATCGCCTAGGGTAGAGTTTTTTTCCATTTTCATTCTTGCAATAGATGTAAAAACCACAAAGAAACGATAAAAGTTAAGATGGAATTCGAATATATTTTAGAAGTTCGACCCACTTTCACTAGGTTTAAAACTTAAATAGAACTAGTAGTAATTAACAGTATTTACTTGAATGTATTCTCCCCCACACTTAACGTTGAAGATGTTTTTTTTACTGTTCGTGAAATGTTAGATTTGCCTACGCATTATTATTATTATTATTATTATTATTATTATTATTATTATTATTATTATTATTATTGCTGTTGATAAAGTTAATATTAGGAATGTATCGATAGCAGTCGTGGATGGTGGACTCACGAGACTGAGTTACTATAAATAACGCGTTTCTGTCCAGTTTAGAAGCAGTGAGAAGTCGGTCTGTCTCCTGGCCATTTGTTTTAGTGTCCTTGTCTAAACATTAAATAAAAGAATAGTAAAATTATTTAAAACGGTTCTGTGCATCACGATCTCCACTACAGCTCTTAATACAATGATCTATGCTAGTTATCATACATTCATACCGGAATATACCGAAAGTTTCGTCATAAAAATATTTTAAATCTGTTTTTTCTTTAACGAATTTAAAAACCAAGGAAATGACATTTGTAAAATGTTGTAAAGGAATTTGTAGAATAAATTTTTGCTGTTAAAAATCATTAACTAGTGCTGAAAGTATTTTAAGAAACTTGCGGTTAAGACAGTTTTGTTACTCAAAATTTCGTTCTTTCAGAGGATTGATGAAATGTTTCAGATAAGAGGGCCCGTGGTGTGCGTTGGTCTGCTACATACTACATACCTCATACTATCATACCACAGCTTCAGTGAAGGTGTCAATCTTAAGAGGCCTCAATGGCAGTCCAAAAAACGAAAATAAAATATTCGGCATCTCATGGACGAGGACACTCTTAATAGAGGTGTGATGCCAGCAGCATCTTGCAAGCGTGTGAGATGAAGAAGGCAAAAGTGGAAGTGTTCTAGGAGTTTCGCAGCAGAAGAGTACCGAAATAGTGCTGAAGGATGTTGAAGGTTTGAGTCTTGGAAAGATGTATGCGTATACTTTTTGAAGGGTTTGAAAAAGGAATACTGATGAATGATAATATAAAAACAATATTAATAAAAAATTCTTATGTTAATGCCAACTAGTTTTTATGACAATATATTTGCATTGAAGTTAAGTAAAACGTAAAACAAAATGATCGAATTGCTTGTGATACGTAAAATGTAACGTTCTATTTTTCAGACTTCTTTTGTCCAACCTAGATTTATTTATTTTTATTATACATTACGTGTGTAGCATAGTAACAATCATACGAGAATTTAAGATATTGTGCTTATTGAATTGTGTAGTAATTTGTGCTGTTGGTCAGATCGGTGAGCTGTCAGTTTCTTTCCATTACTCCTTCCTCACAGTAAACGTCGCTGTTCTTGCTTTTGCCAATATTCTGTGGCACGTAAATGAAAGGGTCGTAAGCACATTGTTCGGGTATTTGACAAGGTCGCCAATATTGAAGCGCCCTTTAATCTTATTAAACAATTCTTTCTCATAGTTCTGCCGTAAATGGCTATTGAAAGGTATGAACGTTGTTCCTAATTCCTGGCCTTGATTTTCGAACGCTGTTACTATTGCAACGCCTGCGAAAAAAATACGAAATAACATTTAATTACAATTTTCAGGTGAGTTTCGCTTTCGACCTAGAGCTACGATGTGTTGGGAGAAGGCTCTATCTACGGGTTCACTCGAAAAAGTAATTTTGCATTCCCGTATGCCCTAGACGTTAGGATCAATGTAAATTAATTTAATCGTTATGGTCTCCTAGTGCTTCGTATAGATAAGTTTATAAAATACCAGCAAACGTCAATATGTTATTTTAAGATTCAAATGTATTATACATTTCAAAGTTCCGCACCAGTTATTATATATTGATATGATTCAAATATATAGAGTTGAATTTCCAGAAATAAGAAGAAATTAAATTAAGGAGTTTCTTTTTATTTCGCTTAGTTAGATTGAATATATCAGAGACAAACGTTTGTAGTGTTTTTTGCCATTGATTGAATAAAAACTTATGAGTATATAATAGCGGTTCGAAATTTTAACGTAATTCTTTCATTAATTGTTTAGTTATCTTGTGAAATTCAATGAACGACTCGGTTGTACAATGCAGGTCTTTGACCTTTTTTGTTTCAGAAAGTCCGCAGGAGCAGCTTCGAATCATGCGGTGAAGATGTACAAGAGGAACGCAACTGAAAATGTATAATTTGTATTAAGCATGTATTTTAACATTGTATAGAAAGTTCGTTGTAGGTTTTGAAATACCAAACTCGTCTTGCTAATTTCAATGCGATAGTTTTGAGTAAATAGACTTCGTTAAGAATATTTGTTATTTTAAGAAAGTCACGCTAAATCTTAACGTTCCAAACGTATGAACGTAGAGTATCTGGGGGAAAAAATAGAGCTATTAAGAACTAATATTTATGTACCTGGTGCACCACTTTGGTTTTTAAAATTGTTTGAGAGAAGTTTCAAAATGTAAAAAATTGTATGTTTCGATTTTTTGGTAAATTTAATTTTCTGATTTGTAATTAATTTTGTTTGAATTGTACAAAAATTGAGTAAGAGCATTGTAAAATGGTGTAATTAAGATATTACGATGTAATTTTGTATTAAATATCTGGTTGAAAAATAAACGTCGTCACTGAGCCTGGAAACTTTTATTCCTGATCTTTGCAAAGAATTCCCAATCTCCCTAAAGGTATAATAATGTTCCCGACATCCTACATTTAAGTAAAATTTTTGTGAACATGGAGAATACAATTTACTTTAAAGTTTTC